GTACCGTCGGCGGTGGATGAGGATTCTGAACTCTCCGCGATTGCGACCTCAGGAGGCATTAGCGCAACCACTAAGCCGTATGTGATGTGACATGATTCCATCATCTATTTGTAATCGACGATTTCCCAATTTCTTCGCGGTATAAAATGATCTATTCCATGCCCACAGACTCGCTTCATGTAATGCAAGTGCTATCAAGATCATCAGTATCGCAATTTTGAAAATCCTACGCAGACTTGAACTGCAAACGGAAATGTCTGGGGCCATTGAAATGAGCGTCTTTATTTACCCGGATCCCTCAAAAATAACAAGGGCGAGTATGACGATCTAATCATAAAGTGAAGACTGACTTTAAGCTCTAGGTTAGGGAGCTTCTTGTTGATCTTTGCGATAAGGTCAAGGCACACAGTGACGTGATCATCAGGTATGCCTGTTATGAGTCAGTCGAGGATAATGAGCCCGTCTTCATTTTCTTTGAGAAGTGAGTCCTTTGTCTTCAACCGTGAACCATAACTTGCGATTCTAAATGATCTAGATATGAGAATACACAGACTTTAGAGGAACATAGGAAAGACCCACACATGGCTGAGTTGTTCAAGATCGCAGAGCAGGAAGCACTTGTTGTGAAACCTCGAAAAATATTCATCATGAACAGGGTTGCTGGTTGGATGGACAATAAATGATCAACTGGCTAGAATACATGTGTCTACTGACATCGTCAATTGAAATAAGTTTGTCCGAGATTGACTTTACATTCATTTGACGTATATGGGATCGTGAAACCATGCTGGGGTAAGCTTTCTCTGTTCCAGCGCGTTAAGGAGTCTGTCAGTGTTGCTTATTTTATGATGCAAGGCCCGGCAGCGCGGAGATACTTGAAACGGTTGCAAGTGACTGACTCATCCAGCTACCCAAGCAAAATTCGGTCTCATGCTTGTTCGTGGTTGAGCTAATCCCGTGTCACTAGTGTGTCGCTGTTTGGCCTGATCGCCACCAACGCAAGGGACCAAGGCATCCGTTCTAGGACTTCTACATGATCGATAACGTTACCGGACAAAGATAGTTTTCTATCACTTTTGACATAGGTGTGTTATACAAGAATGACATGTCTCTACCAGCATTCGCCCATGGTGGGTGCACTAACATTTGTTACCCCTGGCTGGCGAGTAAAATGACGTTCTTTCAAGCATTTGGGCAGCAAGTACCAAGATTCACCCCATAGAGTTTACTGGTCAGCATTTGAAGCATGACCGATCAATAGATATCATTCCCTCATTTATTAGTTTTGGCAGAAGGAAAATAGCACCATAAGTCTCGAATGTTTCTATCATCATGGTTCAGCAATTAGGCTAATGCTAGCCTGATTTCGCTAAAGATCCCCGTCGTAGGGTTCATTCGCTGACGCGAGGATACGCGCAGGACCCGCTGGGTTTTAAGGGGTGAAAACAATATGGCACATGTGGCACAGCACACCATGCTTCTTCTCAAAGCTTTATAGGACACATGCGAAGTAGCTCGTCTCACTCTAACATAAATGCGAGGACTGATTGCGAGCATGGAAATGTCTGAAAGACCTAGGATATGCGTGATTGGAGCTGGTATGTCGCCTCATCCCAATGAACCCATTGGCAATCACCTTTAGGGCGTTGCAGTGCCGGCCTCAGCTGCAATGTCTAGTACCCTCGGTGCGCTAGCAATACTAACATCTAGTCGCAGGACTCGCCGGGCTGGCAACGATCAAGGAATGTTTGTCGGAAGGTTTCGATGTTCACTGCTTTGAGGCTCGACCTGAGATAGGCGGTCAATGGGCCTACCAGGAAGATGCCTCGGACCCGAAAGTGCAGTCTTCCATGTATGCCGGGGTCATTCTCAATTCATGCCGTGATTCCTCCAGTTTTCCAGACTTCCCGTTGGATCCTGCTCGCTACGGAGACTACTTCTCGCACCGGCTGCAGCTACAGTACATTCATGAGTATGCCGACCACTTCAAGCTGAAAAAGCACATTCGATTGCGAACAAAGGTGCTTGAGTGCAAACCTAAACCGGATGCAACCTGGAGCGTACGGATCCAAGAAGATGGGAAAGATGCTGAGGACCTCGAGTTCGGCGTTGTCTTCACATGCATTGGTCATTTATCCACACCATACACCCCAGATTTCAAGGGCCTTGAGAAATTCAAAGGACATTTTCTTCACAGTCATTACTATCGCCGACCTAGTCCGTTCGAAGGGAAAAGAGTGGCATTGATTGGCTTCGGTAGCTCAGCTGTCGACATCGCCTGCGAAATCGCTCCTCAGGCAACAGAGCTCCATCTTGTCACGAAGCGTGGGGGTTGGGTTCTACCGCGTTATGCATTAGGGAAGCCTGTCGAAGCTTGGGATAGTGAGTCTTTGCTTTTGGGAGTGAAATAACTAGTTTCTGACTGCTTTAGATCGCGCAAGCCAAGTATGGTTGCCTGAGAGCATTTCTATGTGGCTTCAGACTCAACTTCTGTTCTTCATTGACGGAAAACCTCCGAAGGACATGAGGCCGGACCACAAGGTCCTTGAACAAAATCCAACGTTGAGAAGTGATTTCTTGGAGAAGATACGCACTGGTCTCATCACAATCCAACGAGCGGGGATAGAGTCATTCGCTGAGAGCGGATTACATCTGAGCAACGGCAAATATCTCGATGTAGATGTCGTCATCTCGTGCACTGGTTACAACCAATTCGAATTCCCGTTCCTTCCAACTGACGTCGCCCGCGGGCCCAACACGCCACCGAACAAGATAGATCTTTACAAGTTGATCGTACCGCCGAAGTACCCGAACTTGTACATGATGGGTTTATGTGAACTTGTTGGCCCCGCTGCGCCTGCATTCGACGCTCAAGCACGATGGGTCGTTGCACACCTCAGTGGACAGCTGCAACTACCACCGCCTGATCAAATGTATGAGGGCATCAGGGCTTTTCAGGATTGGCAAAACAAACACTTTGTCAATTCTGAACGACACGCAACGGCAATGTATCTTATTCCCTACGTCGATGATCTTTTGAAACCCTTAGGTGCAGTTCCTGGCTTTGCAAAACTCTTCGGAAAGGTGTTTACGAGTGGCCACCCTTGGCGGGCATTGCAGGTCCTCAATGCTGTGTGGTTTGGTATACCATCTTCAGCACAGTGGCGGCTGTGTGGATATGGCTCAAAGGAGGAACTCGCAACTGCAACGCTCTTGAGGACTGCAGCGGGTGAGGCTGGTCTGAGTGGGTCCGAGAAAGGTTTGTTAGAACACGATGTATAACACTACGTCATGGACATGGCTATCCCCTATGTTGCAAAACTTGTACAGTACAGTATGACTAGAAACCCTTATACCTAATGTATACGAATAATATTTTTTTAAGTCAAGAAATATCAGAAATTACTCCAAATCGCCGAAGGAGAAAGAAGAGGCTTTGTTTCGTTGGGCATGCTATTAGGTGTATACAAACATTTGATTCGGCCTTGCTCAGTTCCACAAGTGCTTTATATGTAGCTGTACCTTGAACGCGGCCAACAAAGTCTTACTGACATTTCTTTATGGTTAGAATGTCGAGGGTCATAATGACTTGTTAGTTCCTGCTAGATGACTACTGTTGAGGCATACTGGGTATACAACGCCTGTGATTACGGTAGTAAACGCCAAAAGAATTGTCGGTGAAAAGAAGAGTATCTGGGAATCATAAGAGGCTTGAGGCAGGCTACCGCGTTACCCAGCCTCCCGAAGCCTAACGATTCATCCTATCATTTCCAAGTATTCATCTGCATCCGAAGATGGCGCTGAGTCACTTGAATACACCCTGCAACTGTTATAGGCTACATAACTAAGAGGGGCCATTTTGGAGCCTCCTCTAGATTCTAGTGTTGCCCGGTTTATAAGCTCCTTGGTCGAATGGGTGTAGGTAGAGAGTCTCATTGCATTTGATGCCAAAGGAATATCGTATCTTACGTTCCACTATATATTGACATCATTTAGTCATAGTGCAATTCTCAGTGTTCTTGACAATTCAGCAGCCCTCCGTTACGTTGCCCATGGCTCATCATAATAACAAATTTCCTGGTCGGTCTGGTGACCGAGTTCAGGCACGACCTTACAATGATCATAACCGCGATCACGATCAGCCTTATCGTTCAAGCAGCTCGCGTGCTATGAACGAGCTAGGAGAATTTGTCGCACGCCGACTTGTCCCCGAAATACAGCGGAACTCAGCCTGCCCCGTTCACCTGATCATGAACTTTGGGACTCTTTTCGTACATGAACACCATGATCACAGCGACCTGAACAACACGATTGTCTATAACGCGCCGGGATCTACTATGGTCCTTGATTCGAGCCTCTCTTCTTCATCTTCACGGATGAGGACTATAGCACAATCGTCAGATCTTCATTCAGGGGCCTGTCCTGGATGCTTATTACGGAAGTCTGCATGGTCTGGCAAATACTGTCAAGATTGCGAGAATGATATGAGACGTCTGAGAGAACCTACGTGGTTGAGGCAGACTGAGCCATTTAACAGCAGGATCCCAGGCCGAGTACCATTTCATAACAGAGTCAGTGAAAGAAGGATTCACACCTTCAGATAAAGCCGATTCATGTTGCCTGCCAAGACCAACCTTTGTTGAGGCAAAGGTTGATAACCACTTTTACAGAGATTCACCCTTGAGACGCATTAAAATGGTAACCATTATTCTAGAATTTCAGTTGAAGCAGTGAGCCTCGACGTCCCATAGGAAGAATAGCTGTTACACAAGAGTAACAATTGAAGGATGAGAAACTCGCCCCTCTGAAGCCTTCAGATCTAGCAATAGCCACTTGATCAGTGAATTGCAGAGTCCCCGGCAGCAACGAAGAGCAAGTCTGGCAGCGTTCAGCATGGCCCTGGACTTCTGGACACCCTCGATGTTTAGCTTAGCTCGACCAATTAGCCGTATCGCTATGGTGTGTGTAGCAGTCGCCTGAAATAGAATGTTCTCATCTGCTCATTTCGCGCCCGCCCCAAAGAGAGCATCCCTGGTGTCGTATTGATACTCCAGATTAAGATGCCAGTAGTTGACTGTGTCTGTCTTGGAAATCTGCCATGCCTCATCCAATGCTTTGACAACACTTTCGGGAAGTGGTCCTTTCTCAAGATGGTTCAGGTTATCGTCCAGCTGCTCAATGCTAGACACACCGATAATGATACCATCATTCCCATCCTTCACCTTGAGGGCCGAGTGATGTACCGCCCACCTGAGAGCAGTTTCGATCATGCTCAGGCCTTCCTTCTCGACCGCGGTCTCAATCACCTGCAGCGCCTTGAAAGTGCTGTCTCTAAAGTATCTTCCACGATACATTTTCCCACTCTTGGCTGTGTCACTAAATCGTCCTTCGGCTGGTGTCATATCCTTAGACTTGATCTTCCCTGAGAATATCCCGCCAGCAATGGGGTTATAGATCACGACGTCCAAGCCATAGCGACGGCAGGCGGGAATCAGCTCAGCCTCGATAGAGCGCGTGATACAGTTGTACATTCCCTGATAGATGCTTGGACGGACCCAGCCATTGTATTTGCAGGTGAGTACGATTTCGGCAACTTCGAATGCGGTGAAATTAGAGAGACCGAGGCGGACAAACTTGCCAGCCTTGTGGAGCTTGTCGAGGGCTTCGAGGGTGTTGGCAAACGGTGTAGCACGGTCCTGCGATGGACGTCAGCGATATCGCCAATGTAGAGATAAGCGGTATTAGAAGGGGCAGCATACAGCAGCGTGGAGATATAGAATCTACGGATTCAGCGTCAGCCATCGACCGTTCTTGAGTAATAAATCAAGCGCATTGAGAACTCACATCCACAGAGTCAGATCCCAGCTCCTTGAGACTCGTCTCGACAGACGCAATGACCTTGTCGCCTGTGTTCTCGCCAGGAGCATTTGGATACTTGACCTTTGTTGCGAGGGTCAAACCCCGCTCTTTCCAGCCGACCTCACGAGTGAAAGCCTCTTGTTTCCCGTCGATATAGACTGAAACATTCAGAGTCAGCAATTGCATTCTTGCCAAAGCCATAGTCAGAGCTAAGATCCTTCATCGAGCATCATCTTGTAGGAAATAAGAACTCGCCTCGTGCAGTGTCCACTTCACTGTATCCTCGTGACTGGAAGAGATCTAGGATCTTGCCATACTCTGCGACGTCTGTAATGCGAGCTCCAGCTTCCGTGTCCGTTCCAAAAGTCATTAGACCCAGAATGACACGATTGGTAGGAGCAGCAGCAACGAGCGGCGACATGGCTAGTGGTGTGTGTAAGGATTGCCTGGTGGTTGGTAGGAGATATGGGTAGGTAGATATTCGAGCAGACCGGTATGAACTTGAGGGCGGGGCGGGCAAGACAGGAGAGGGTCGATTATATCAGTAGTTTCGCCGTGCCGTGTGAGTTACTTATAATCGCTCCCGGCCCATCATGAAACCCAGAGAGCTCCCCATCGGCCTTAGGAGACAACAGTCAAACATCGCCGATAGCGCATCGCGTCACTGGCGCTACGGTAGACTTTTTCTCGTGGGCGGTGGGGTTCACGTTATTGGCGATGCGGGCGGAGGGCGGGGTCGTTATCTCCAGTGAGGTCATGGTGGCTTGCTGCCAATTGCCATGAGACTCGCCGTGCTTACTTTCGGGCTTCTCAATGGTGTGCACCAATCTTTCTCTCCATTTGTAAGGCGATTCACAGAATCAGCTCGGGCAAACTCACGCGTGAATAAAACAGGGCACATCAAGATATAGAGGCGGCTGAGCATGCACCTGCATGAGTGACGGCGGGCGGCGGAGGAGGCTCGACATCGGCACTCTACCTACTAAAGATGGAATCAGATCCACTAATTAGCTATCTCCCGCTGCCGAAGCGCTCCGGCACCCGGCCGATACCTATCACTATGTATGTACTAGGTTCCAAGTTTGAGTGGCTCTTGCTTTCTAGGTTACCGCCTTTGTAAATCCACCCCAGAAAGTACCTAAGGACTGCTTCGGAGGTAGGTAGCCCTATATGTCAATCAACAATAGTTGATATGTTGTGAAGTAGAAGGCATTAACGTGGTGAAGGCCATACCGAAATCCTCTTCTGCATAAGAACCTCAGGTAATAACCAGTAAGCAACGTTCACTACAACTGTTGCTTACCCAAGAAATGATGGCTGTTATGACAGCAACAGAGCTAGCTTAGGGGCCTAGGAGGTAAGAGCCATCCATGGAGGAAAAGCAAGACTCATGGCTTGGGAGTGCCCTAGAATCTAGCGTGTGGCTTACATGTGCCGCCTGGGACGTGCCAGAATTTCTTAGCTCCCGCTATCCTTTCCCAATATGGTTCTAGAAGACACCCCTTTTACTGAAAGTCAACATAAATGTGTCTAAACTAAGCCTACCGTTTCTTTATCTGGCATACCTATGTTGAGAGAAAAGATGAAGTTATGCCTGAGATTACCTGGGCTTTATTGCTTCTCTAGGTCAATCGGGCACAAGCTGTATCAACCGACGGGTCAAGTGCCCCGCAGCCTGATACCTTTATTTTCTTTTTGAGGCACTTCACTACAGTGGTATACTTACTTCCTCACCACATGCGTCGGCGTAATGCGCGTGCCACATCAACAAACTGGACGATATCCAGCACATGCTCACGGTTAGTCTTAGTTTTGATGATTCAAATGAAGTCAAAAGCGAGTTTCTTCGAAAGTCGCCCCATGGCACCGTCAAAATCCAACTCAAGTCTCCTTGATCGAAGGAATCGTGTGTCCAGATGCTATCTGGACTACCGTCCGCCAAGAACGGAAGGTCACTCTCGGTCCATTCTTCCCCGTCAACAGTGCGTCTTGTCGATCAATGTGGTCCGCTGCGAGAGGAGCGGCAGTGCGGTTGACTGAGATCCGTCGCATATCTTGTTATCCGAGGTTGCCGTGAGAGTTCAGGGATGTTGGTATCTTTCAATTTCGGCATCGCGGGAGGCATAGTTGACTGCCAGATAAGCCAGCCCCGCAGACTGTTCATGTGCTACATATAAGTTCAGGCTCAATTGCCAAGAGGCTCTTATAGAGGGGACCCCGAGAAGATGGGTTATTCGTGCTCGATTGGACGAGCTCGTGGGTATTAGTCCATCAACATGAAGAGTCACTTCCTCCGGGCTTCTTGCGCCTTGATCGCAAGTAGATCTATGGTCATCGCCGATGTTCAGCCACGTAGGTTCCCAGATATTTGTGAAGCAAACTGGATTGTTTGCTAAGTGGTGGATTGGTAGTCGTGCCTCTTGTGTTTGATCCCCTGGATCTTGGTGAGGTTAAGCCTCAGGGATGGCTACACGACCAGCTCGTCTTGCAGGCGAATGGTCTTGGAGGGCACTTGATGGACTTCTGGAAATACGTTTCGGACAGTGCTTGGATCGGTGGAAGCACAGAATAGAGTATTCTCCATGAAGCTTTTCCGTACTGGCTGAATGCCATAGTACCGCTCGCATACGGTGTCAATGATGCCCGCCTCATAGCGCAAGTTCGCAATGCCACCGACCAGGTCCTCGAGCGTATCCAGGAGGATGGCTGGATTGGATATGAGACGGGCACAAATCGAAACATGTGGCCGCGAAACTTGGTGTGCTTGGCCTTCATGCAGCTAGCCCAAGCAGATCCAGACTACACAGACAAGATTGTCACCGTTATGCAGAAGTTTGCTGTTCTGATAAATAGTATGCTTGCTAATAACTACACGGGCTTCATCTATCATGACGGAGACGAATACTCGGAAGGTGCGACAGAATGGGGACTTTCGAGAGCCCAAGATCTGATGATCCCTCTCATGTGGCTATTCGATTATTATCCCGGTAATTACTCCCAGATCCTTCTTGACAACATGAGATACCTGTATGAAGCCGGAGTGAACTGGGACTACTGGTTCCGTCCGGACGTTTTCCCTCGCGGCGAACTCGACCAGCTGAACAGGACATTCTGCGATTATCAACCTTGGGAATATCAGCATGGCGTCAACGAAGGAGAAGGGCTCAAGGCAACTGCTGTCTACCGCCGGTTTCTCCGCAATGAGTCTCTGGTTGAGCTCACACACCAGGGCGTGAACTGGACTTTCTTTTATCACGGCTCAGCATCCGGATCGATTCTTGCTGATGAGTACATCAACGGACAGGCGGGGTACATAGGGTGAGTTAAGATGAACAGATGTGAAGTCTTTGCTGACGTGAGGTCTGTAGGTCCGAGACATGCACAGCCGTAGAAGTCATGTACTCACTTAGCTACCTTTATCAGGCACTGGGAGAGAACTGGTACGCAGACCGAGCTGAATTGGCTGCGTACAACGCTCTTCCTGGTGCAATGACTCCTGACTGGTGGGCACGACAGTATATGGCAGAACCTTCCCAACCCTGGAGCAGGAACTTGACGGAGACTCCGTTCTCAGATGTGAACACCGTTGGTCAGATGTACACACTTGAAGGCAACTATCCGTGTTGCACTGTGAATCATCCTCAAGGCTATCCCAAGTTCCTCGCTGCCTCATACGTAGCAGTGGGGACCACTGGTCTTGCCCATGCTCTCCTGGCACCAGCAAACGTAACAACAACATTGGGGAGTGGCACCAATGTCACCATTGTGACGAATACAAATTACCCTTTCGATCTCACCATCGAATATAACATCACAACCGACGCACCCTTTGACTTCTACGTGCGAGTGCCCGATTGGGCTGATGTATCAGGCTCTACGAGTTCAGTTGCCGATGGCCCGGCGGTCGTGGTAGATCCGGACACCGTCACGGGAATGCACAAGATCCCAATCGCCACTGCGGGGACGACCCAAATAGTGTACAAGCTGAGCACGTCGATTCGACTTGAGCCACGTGTGAACGCTACAGTGGCAGTGCACTATGGTGCGCTGTTGTATGGGCTCTCCATTGCGAGCATCAACTCTAGCACGGTTCCCTGGGATTACCGGACGAACGCCCCGATGCTGACCGGATATGCGCCGCCGGAGGCCCGCGACTGGACGATGCAAAACGCCAGCGCATGGAATTACGCCATCGACCCGAGCACCCTAGAATACCACTACAGTGGGGAAGCGGCGCCGGGCAGGACCTTGGCGAACCCGATCTGGGCACCCCTCGCACCGCCGAACGTGATCACGGCTCAGGCGTGTCTGATCGATTGGCCTCTGTATCTGGGCAGTATCCCTGCGAAGGCACCGCTGCCGGAAGCTAGGAAGTGCATCGGGCCGGTGGAGGAAGTCGAGTTGAGGCCGTACGGTGCTACTAAATTGCACATGGTGGACTTGCCGACTATTGACCTAGCCGACGAGATGATGATCCAATGGCAAGATTGAGTGTTTTTCTGTTACAGAAGATGCTCCCGCATAGATTGGCAATTATAGCCCCAGAAGCCAGAAGTGTAGTGCAGATCGATGACTAAACTTAGGATGTCTGTTTGGGAATCTACATTCTACTATAACAATCTTCCTCAAACCTGATATTGACATTTCCAAGTAGCTCGGTACCTCAGGGGCTATGAATGTGGCTCCCAGGGGTTGCCCTTCAAATGGTCTGTGCACGGCATCAAGCAAGGGCCTTTCCTAGGTAGTGGGGGCCTCAGGCAGCCAATAATTTTTTAATTGATTTCGCGTCTGCAGGCAACGACAGACCTGGCAGAGAAGGAGGGACTCGAGTGGCACGAGCCACTTTACGGGAAGGCGCGTCTTGAACTCCTCCGCACGCGTCCGTTTCGTGCCTCCTTGCCTTGGCCATCTCGCTCCTACCCATCGACCTCATCGCACCCACTCCTCCAATTGCAGCCTCCCGTCTGCTGACCGTCTCGACAACCTCGTCTCTCTCCTCCAGATTATCCTCGGAGTCTTCTCCTCTCTGTGCTCGAGATACCCTCAATGCACCCTTCTCGTCACTGTTTCTTGGACTTCGCATTAGTCTACTTTTTCCATTGCGGCAACTGGTGACTGCTGAAATTTTGTCAATTGAGGCATTGTCTAAGCGCCCCCTCTTCTTTCCGAGCGCTGTTCATCAGCCGCGCACCATACGGCGCACCGTCTATCACAGACCGATCCAAGATTCGAATCAAGCCCGAGGCATCGTCGTTCCAAAATGGCAAAGGGAGGTGCCGGTGAAGGCATTTACAGTGCTACATATAGTGGCGTAAGTATCATTTACTCTCCACTCTCATCAATTCTACCACCACCTCCCGCCGGCTACCTGGTCCAGAGCACCTCAAGGTTGCAATGCACATGACACTACTGCTGTCCGCTCTGATTCCATGTTTCCCCTTTCTCCGTCCGCCTCAACGCAGTCAACGAAGTTGCTGACCACAAGCTTTGCGCAGATCCCCGTGTGGGAATTCCAGTTCGGTGCCGATCTCAAAGAACATGTAATGCGACGGCGCCATGATGACTGGATCAATGCGACACACATCCTCAAGGCTGCTGGCTTTGACAAGCCTGCCAGAACCCGAATTCTTGAGCGAGAGGTACAGAAGGATACGCACGAGAAAATCCAAGGTGGATATGGAAAATATCAAGGTGAGCCAACCCTGCTAACTTTAATTTCACCCCTCTTTGATATTGACATGACCGGGTTTCTTCAGGAACATGGATACCACTCGAGCGCGGCCAGGAACTTGCACATCGAAATAACATCTATGAGCGGTTGCGCGCTATCTTTGAGTTTGTCCCTGGCAACGAGAGCCCACCGCCTGCACCACGACATGCCAGTAAACCCAAGGCACCTAAAAAGCCAGCTGTGCCCAAGTGGACTAGTGAGTCGCCCGTCGGCCGGTTACATCTTCGTGAACTGTTCTAATTCTATCTGTAGATCCAGCCCCTGTACAAGAAGAGTACGACAACGGAGATGTTATCATGAATGAGGACGACACTCCCGACAACTTGACTGTTGCATCAGCTTCATATATGGCAGAAGACGACCATCATGACGTATCACATTACTCTACTGGCCATCGAAAGCGGAAGCGGGAGGAGTTGATTCAGGACATGACTGAGCAACAACACTCAATGTACGGAGACGAACTACTGGATTATTTCCTGCTCTCTAGGAACGAGCAACCGGCCATCCGGCCTGATCCTCCCACCAACTTCCAACCAAATTGGGTCATTGATACCGAACAGCATAGTGCTTTACATTGGGCCGCCGCCATGGGCGATGTCGAGGTTATCAAACAACTCAAGCGATTCGGTGCCGCACTGTCAGTGAAGAACGTCCGCGGTGAAACGCCCCTCATGCGTTCCGTGAACTTCACCAATTGCTTTGATAAGCAGACTTTCCCGCAGGTCATGAAGGAGCTCTTTGAGACGGTTGATGCGCGTGACCATGGCGGTTGCACCGTCATTCATCATGCTGCGGTCATGAAGAGCGGTCGAGTCGCTAGCCAGAGCTGCTCGCGGTACTATCTTGACAATATCTTGAACAAGTTACAGGAAACGCACGATCCCAACTTTGTCCAGGCTCTCATTGACGCCCAAGACCACGAAGGCAACACAGCAGTGCATCTTGCAGCTCAAAGAAATGCAAGCAAGTGTATACGAGCTCTCCTCGGCCGTGGCGCTTCAACAGATATCCCCAATAAGGATGGTGTCTGTGCAGAAGAGCTCATCAGACAATTAAATGCGACCAAGAAGGCCCGCACTGTTCCACAGCGATCAAGCAGTCCATTTGCGCCTGATAGTCAACGTCACACCTCGTTCCGGGATGCCATGGGCGAACCCCTCACCAAGATGGCGACTACTTATCAATCAGATGCTGCCAACACTGTCCAAAGCCGCATCACTCCTTTGGTCCTCGAAAAATTTCAGGATCTTGCTCACAGTTACGAAGAGGAGTGGAAGGAGAAGGATGAGGCAGAAAAGGAAGCTCGCCGAATCCTCTTGAACACCCAAGCCGAGCTAGCAGGAATACGTCAGCAAGTCGCTGAGTTAGAGTCGCACCTGGAGCCAGACGACGTTGCTGCTAAGGTCAATGCCGACGCCGCTTTGGCACGCAAACAGGTCCTGTCACTATTCACACACCACAGTCGCATGGAGGTCGAAGGTTCTGTGCAGACAGAATTAAGCATGCTCGTAAATGGCGATAGTGCCAGCCAAGAGGACAGCTACGAGGAACGACTCAAATTAGCCACCGAATTACGCCAACTTGTACAGGAGGCTCGGCAAGTCGAGGCAGACTACGTGGAGGCTTTGGGGGTCGTGGGTACTGGTGAGAACATTGAGAAATACCGGCGTCTGTTGAAAATTTGTCTCGGTCCCGAGGCTGACAGTCTTGACGACAATCTCGATGGCATGATACAAATGTTTGAGGAAGAGGTTGCCGATGGAGCGCGCACGATCAACGAGGTTGCCGGTGCCGGTCTAGGCATAGGGGTCGCAAGCGGTGATGCTTTGGAGATCAGTGCAAGCATGTAACGTGCTGGAGCCTGCGTTCTCGTTACGCTCGCGTTGATCATTCTTGTTACGGTTGTAATCGCGCTGTTCATTATTGGCATGAGCATTGGAGTATCTGAAGAAGCAAGGGCCTGTACGGTTAGGAGGGGCAGTTGGCTCCTTTGGCGTTCGGCGAGCCCGGCTGGCTCATGGATTTTGCCCTGTATTACCTGGACTGATGAAGGGTATATTACTACGCGAAGTAGTGCGATCAGCATTAAACAGCACAATTGTCATAATCATGACTACGGTCAGGACCTTCATTTTTCCCGACGTGTGTAGATACGCCGAGATGAATCAAATGTATCCTACTGCATGCTAGAGCCAGCATTTCTAGTTTGTCTCGCTTGGTCGTCAATTTGCCCACGCCACTCAGCCATCCTCCAAGTAGGTAAGACCAGGAAGCCGTCAGGGTACTTCATTCAGGCATTAGAGGCTTCGGTCAATGCCACGTCGCGCAGGATGAAGAATGCTATTTGACCTTTCGACAGCATGACTGACACAAGTCTCGTCAATTTCGATAATCATACGCAGGGGTTCGCGGTCGAGACCTACCTTCAGATCGAGCAGGACGATGCACGAGTTGGTCTGGGCTCAAGATCCGGCAGATGAATGTCCGCATATGATCGATCGACTGAGCGAGAATGACCGAGAAGTCCGGCTTTCTTGCCACGTTACCAGTTCGGGCGGAATGACAGGCCGGATCCTGGGCATTTGCTTCTGTTCTTGGGCATAAGTTTCAATAAGGTGCTTAGGGAACGATGCGCAATGCAGCAATATCTGCGAGCAAGGCAGTCCCACATACACACGCGCGCCCACACAAACTTACATACGTCCATGCAAGCAGTCACGGCTCGGCCAGTCTGACACCTACTCGGCTCGCAAGAATCCTCCCTGAGCCGCACACCATTCTCATTTTCCACGGCGTAGTGTGCGTATAGCTTCTGCTTCAGCGCGTGTGAGCAGTTAGCAAGATCGCTGACCGGATAGTAAGGCATTTGCACACTGGAGATGACTTTCGGGTGTCCAGCCAGCCTCGCGTCGATCATGGCTGGCTTAGTGCGGCTCGTATTCTGCCTCCGGTAACTGAGGCTGTCTCCCTGGTCATGCACTGTCGTCTCTAGTGCGACAGCCCTCGTTCACTATCGTTAGAAGATGCCTAGCAAGCTCTTATTGAAGCCACGGCAGACAAGAGAGGCCATGTCGACCAACAATCGTGCGTGAAGAGGGACCAGACAGCCCTCGATTCCTCATCTGCGGGGACGAACGGGAGGATCTCGATGTGAATGAGGCATCGCAGAGCTCCACTAAGACCTCGCAGCCCCGGCATCACTTTGCGATTGGACGCTCGCCAAGTGACACATCCTCCCATGTAGTCAGCTGAGATCGTCTGAACAACTTCAAGGGACCTCATCGGATACGCAGGAGGGCATGCCAAGACCAAAAGTGATCACATGATTAGCACGTGGTCAGACAGCCTTCGGATCCCCGCCTGTGGTGTCACCTGGCGCTCCCTAAATTTAGGAGGACCGGGATGCAAGGAGATCTCATTGATGATGAGCGGGATGAGATGATCGCGTCAGAGTTCATCGCATCCTTGAAGAGCTCACTTGAGCCGTCACGGCAAGATTTGGATTCAATGCGGAAATTGAGAAGGGATCCTGTCAGCAATAGGGCTGCTGACGAGATCGAATCAAACCGCCCCGCATCGTAGAGAGTGTTGATGCTGGAGCAACTGAAGGATAGACGCAAATCTCAAAGCAATTCGTCCGCACAACAAAATGAGGCCCTGTCGCAGGCAGTTGCCGGAAGCGCGGCTGTCACGCAACGGTGCAAACAACGTATTTCTACCACTCACAAGGGAAGGCTGGCGGGGTCGCATCAAACAGTGGCCAGCCGCGTTTGCGACAGCTAACCCGGTTCTTGATGCCGGTTGGGTACCGGCAGTCCGGGCTCAGCACAACAGGTAATACCTGCTAGGCAGAGCACAACCACTCGAAGCACAGTAATGACAAGCCCATGGAATTCCGCGTTCGGACAGATGCTCGTATATTGGCCTGTAAGAACAAGAGAAAGAGCGGACACTGGCTACAGTGGTAATGACCTTCGTAATGAAAGGGGTTCGTCGTCGTCTGAATCGCCATCCCGAGGTGTGGCAGGTTGGAAAGTCTTGGCCTGTGGCAATTCAGCATCGTGGATTGCAAGGCTACAGCTGGAGCGGATCATGCGCAACCAATGGCATCGCTAGAAATGTGAACCGTGATGGAATAAATGGGAATTTTTAGTTCACAATAGCTGGCGTCTGTTATATCTCAAAAAGCGGTCTGGAAAGGTATAGTCGAGCCATGTCAGGAGCCTGGCGGGATGAACGGATGAAATGGAACAGGAAGCTGGAAACTCGAACGTGACAAGGGGGGAAAAAAAATGTCTCTGTCGCCCCCGCGAATTCGGCATTATGCTAATTAAAGCCAAATGAGAGGCACATCCTGCAAGGTTAGATGTCATGACGAAGGGGCTTGCTGCAAAGAGCCTCGAGCTAAGTGAGACACGGGGGATAGGGCAGGCGTGGTATGTTCGTTCTCACTACTGTGAAGATGTTGCACCGGCGATGCTTGTCGAGCATCCTTACTGCAAATGCAAAACAAACAGGAGGCAGGCTACTTGCAAGTCCGTGTAGCATACATGGTTTACGAGCTGCATCTCACCTCTTTGCGCCGTCAAACTCCGATGAACACGAAGAGCAAGTAGCCGAAAGGCGGCGGGCTGGCGGTTGAATCCCGGCCTGAAGGGAACGAGCCTTTTTTTCGTCTAATTTGCTAGATCTCGTAGGGCTGAAGGGGGACCCACCACCTAGATCGCTTTCAGGAACTTTGAACGAGGAACCCGACCAGGGGCGGCTGCGAATCAGTCGGTCTGACGGCTCCAGAGAGCGGAGAGCCTACGAGCCTGCCAAGCCTACCCTTCCTACTGCATTGCTCACCCCAGGCGCTATCCGAAACGGACCAGACGGATTACCTATGATAGTGAACATGAGGTCTGGCCGTCGTCATCCTGTGCCACGGCACATCATAATCACAGGCGCCATGTTACAACAGGGGGGCATGTCGGACAGACAGGACATGGATGAGCACAGACGAGTCAGTAAGCGCTTGCGAGGGTCTAATCATACAGACAATGATATCGATTGCCGTGGCTGCCCCTCTCATTCTTGCGGCCGACTAGTGGTAGGAGGTGGAATGACCATTTTGATGTCTCACAAAGGGGCTCAAGTCAGACAAGGCAGCGTTTTGATGAAAGAATAAGGTAAGCAGACTCCGCACATGAAGGTGCGAGCGGGGGATTTGGATCAGACCGAGGAGCGAACACTGTTCTCCATTTGGATGTATAGTCACCACTTACACGCAGGCTTGAGGAGGGGAGAGGGTGCTACAACAGCCGGTATATCTGCAAGGCCCCCTTACTGCTAGATGTTTACCCGTCCAAAGATAGACTCAGCATCTCTCACACATAAAATGTAAAATAAGCAGAGCTCTATACGCGCAATAGCCCCCCTCCCACGATCAAAAGTACCACGGCTCGGGCATTAGGCAGTTGCCGGATATGATGCCTTCCGACAGGGAGAAACACGCCGTCGCAGACAAGGGAACAACGCCGCAAAAGGCCCGGAAGCCGAAGAAGGCAGGTTTCGCGGGCTTTTCACAAAGTATAATCAAGCTCGACATATGCAGAAGGGCGGGTCGGAAGGATTGATGGCCCCCATGATGCGGAGGCGACATATCCAAAGTTGTCGAGGGCGTGAAGACCTTGCAGGTAGACTACTGCAATGTAATAAACATGCACGCATAAATTAGCTTAAGCTGATACACAAAGATTTCCACTTTGACAGCCCGTTGTGCGATGCCATCAGCTCTGCCGTTATAGACTTAGGTAAGCATCAAGACTTATCAAGGTGCAGACGAACCGGATCCAAGGGAGCATGTTGAGAAAAAGGGGGTGGGGATCTCGCCGCAGTAACGCACTTGGTACGAGATTCTTCCCGGCCCATCGCTCTTCAAGTGGCAATAGCGCGTCGTCACGTAACAAAAAATTCAGCCGAATAAAACAAATAGGCACAGGATGGCGAGGCGGTGAACCAGAGTCGCGTGAACGCGGATGCAGACTATACAGGGATGATGACTAGAATCATGACTTGCGGCAACTTGACGATACAGCCAGGGACAAGCGGGCACATGGAGGTTCACGAACTTACGGTTTGTCTCTGAATAGGATGTCACTTTCACAACGAGAGGATGTGCCGGTGTCCTTCCTTCTAGAAGACGCAGAAGGATTCGGATAGGCGAGCTTCCAGGCCGCCCTTGCTACCTTCCGGTTCGCCGAGTTTTGCTGGTGCCTGGTCTTGTTGGCTTTCCTGGCGCTCTTATCAGGTTTCGCAACCGTCGGGCATCCTTTCGTGCCGTTGGTGGGCACGGTGGGGTCATGTTGGGCATGGGAGATCGTCGTCGATCATGGCCAGGGACGACGATTTTTGGATTCGAGGGATTGGACCCCAAGGACAGGAAAAGGACTACACAGTAGCACATGCAGTATTGTACATACATGCGTAAGGTGCATGTCAGCAGCGACCTACAGCCAGTCCCAAGACCGGTAGGGGCGGTGATTTGTCGTCCAGGCGCCGGAAATATGGCGTTCCGGCTTGCTAGTAAAAGTGGGCAATACTAACTCCGACTTGACATCTCGAGCGACTAAGCGCAAGTAAAAGAGCAGGTACATGTATGTTGCGAGAAAGGCTTGTGATAGTAACAAGGGCGGTGATGGGGGCGAGAGATATAGTCAAGAATTAGAAGTCACGGTTTGGCTGGACGAAGTACGAGACATTATGCAACCTTAGAATGGAAGCTCAACTTCTATAGAGGCCTGGCAGCAGCACTTGAGGTGTCCGAATGCCTCTCTGAACAAACGGAAGGGGTGAGACTATTCCAAGG